GCAGATGGCACTCTAGGCTAGTGTTTAATAGCAGACGGTGCTCTGGGCTACTTTTTAACAGTAGATGGCGCTCTCTATGCTAGTTTTAAACAGCAGATGGCACTCTCTAGGCTAGTGTTTATCAGCAGATGGCACTATAGGCTACTGATTAACAGCAAATGATGCTCTAGACTAGCTTTAAACAGCAGATGGTGCTCTAGGCTAGAATTGAACAGCGGCTGGCGCTCTAGGCTAGTTTTAAATAGCGGATGGTGCTCTAGGCTAATGTTAACAGCAGACGGCGCTTTCTACGCTAGTTTTAAAGAGCAGACAGCGCTCTCTACGCTAGTTTTAAACAGTAGACTGCACTCTAGGCTAGTTTTAAATAGCGGATGGTGCTTTAGGCTAATGTTAACAGCAGACGGCACTCTCTACGCTAGTTTTAAACAGCAGATGGCGCTCTCTAGGCTAGTTTTAAACAATAGACTGCACTCTAGGCTAGTTTTTAACCATACACTAAAATGCCCACAATGAGGAGTACTTTTTCAATCAGCCTTTAATAATCCTATAAATGATTATTTGGGGTATTTGGAAGGGTTTGTATGCACGAAAGAATAACGATGCATTTTGAAAATCTCAGAATTGATGCAGTCAATTTCTCAAAATATTTTTTTTCCCATCACAGCTCTGAAGAAGGAGTGTGTTTATACCTTGATGCCATAAAGGGCGTCATGTCGAGCTCCAGAGGAAAGGACACGTATGTGGTGATCTTCCTCCGCAGTTTCGCCGAGTGCTCAAACCGCTGAAAAACACACAAACACATTTAAGGGGTGCTGAAAGATCAAGACAGAGAGAAGCAGCTCTGCTCTTACTTTGAGGTGAAAGCAGGCCACTATAGGAAGCCTCTTCATCGTCAGCTGTTTGGTGGACTCCTGGTAACTATGGCAACCGCTGCATTTTATCTTGGCGCTGCTTCCTAAGTGTTCGGGTCTGGTGAACCTGCAATGCAGAAAAGCAGTGAGCGGAGGCCACAGAGATGCTGCTTCACTTCATGTTTCAGGTAAAATTACGTCATTTATCGAATACAAATGCACAGCACCTTTAAAGTCTGTGTGAAATCTAAACGTACAACCTTTATTTGGCTACCTTTTTATTCTTCAGGTAAAGATCTAAACAGTGCAAGTTAATCCACTGAAAATAAGTGTTTGTTTTGGTCATCTTCAACTTAAGCGTCTGCTTCGGTGTTAGCAGTGTTGGTCACTCAGTTTGACACTTCAGCCACATTATTCTTAGCCACGCCCCTCTAACCATTAGATTGCAATGAGAACATGACGCGCAAAAAGACAGCCCCGCCCCCTACTTAATATTGCACTTTATATACTGTAGTCCAGATGTCTGATATAACTTCCATAGTAAATCACAAGGAGTATTAGTTCTCAGATTAATTCTTAATTAATTACAATTGTAATTACAAGCAGATATTGATTCAATCATAAGTACAGTGTAACAACATGGTAAAAAAAGTAAACATTAGTCAAATGGGGCCATACCTTCTATTGTGTTCAGCATATATTTTTTTAAATGGGTTTGAAAGCAGTGGGTGGTGATTTAATGTGTATTTTAAATGTTCAACTACCTCTTTAAGAGGCTGAATAATCAGTGTGTACCTGCGCAGGCAGTCTGTGAGCGTGGTGGCTCCGCTCGGGTGGCTGTCTCCGTTCACCACACTGCCATCACTGCCGGGACTGAGCGGCCAGAACGGGGTGGAGGAGCCCGGCAGGTCCAGGCTGATGTCCCAGAATGGGTCTATCGTGGTGGAGACGCCGCTGTGGATGAAGAAATGACACAATACAATCAGATAAATCAGCATTATCTGTCATGCACACATTTATTTATTCACTTGCCAGAATTGAAAGCGATTTTCATGGCATTCTGAGAATTAAGTGTAAAAGTTATCCACATGTAATGGTAAATTTTCAAAATTTCTGGTCGCACTTCTGGGGAGCTTTCATTCATAAGTTATATTATCCATATATTAGTATACAGAGATGTACATCCAGTACATGTGGATTAGGGCTGCACAATATACCGTTTCAGCATCGATATCGCAATGTGTGAATCTGCAATACATCACAGCATTTAAAGCGATCTTAAGTCAACTTAAACCATTTGGAGATGAAGTTTAAAGGGTTGGGACTGCAATATTAATTTATTCATGTATACTATGAAGACTATACAGTGTTATTTTACATCTGATATTGAATTGAAGCCCCGTTTATGTCATTATTATCTTTGTTTTATTGTTTTCATTTTGATTTCATGCATTTTACACAGGTGCACTTCCCTACACAATCATTCCAATCAATTTAAGATTATTAATTATTTCCTAATAGAGTCATCTTGTGAAATGTTATTCATATCGAAGAACATCAAAACATCCCAAAGCCATTTTTTCCAAAATCACGCAGCCCTGATGTGCATTATTTGTATTAATCAGGAAAAAAAAAACATTGACGCTATTTTAAAGCGTTAATAGTATTTGATGCATGTCTGAATGAATCAACAACAAACGTAGTGGGGCTTATTACAGTTCATGCGGAAGTGATCAGATGGTTGGGATCTACTGCTGGATCTCATAAAGGTCACAGTTTGATCACCAATCAGAGAAGAAATGCTACTAAAGAGAAGTTTTAAGCTTAAACAAAATAAAGATGAGCTAAGAATTTAATTCCCTGATCGGGTTGTCTAATAAAACATCCATTGTTTATTACTATATCATTATATTATTAACTATTATTAGCTTTGTGTAATAACACTGGTATTATTAAATGTATAAAATGTAAGAGAGAAAGCAATCAATGGGTGTGATGCAATACTAGCGTTAAACACAAGGTGGCGTCAAGGAGAATGATTTAACTGCATTACAAACCAACCCTTTACACCAACCTCGGTTCTGGAGGGCCGGTGTCCCTACAGGGTTTAGCTCCAACTTGCCTCAACACACCTGCCTGGATGTTTCAAGTATGCATAATACGACCTTGATTAGTTGTTCAGGTGTGTTTAATTAGGGTTGGAGCTAAAATCTGCAGGACACCGGCCCTCCAGGAACAAGTTTGATGACCCCTGTTTTACACCATGTTCAATAAGGATTGATACACAAAATAATGTAACAACATGCTGGATCTGGTCCAAAAAATCTAGTGAGCTACCCTATCTAGGTACCCTTTTAAGGTGTCATAGATGTGATGGCTGATGCAAAAAGTTGAAAACAGTCTATTGTGATTTTTTTATTTTTATAACAGTGGCTTAAACTATTTCCCAGAGATGGGTTGTGGTTGGAAGGGCATCCGCTGCGTAAAAATAAGGATAAGTTGGCGGTTCATTCCGCTGTGGCGACCCTGGATTAATAAAGGGACTAAGCCGACAAGAAAATTAATGAATGAATGGCTTAAACTATTACTAGCAAACACTTCTTATGATGTTTTTTTTAATTATTTACGTCAGATTACACACTGACAATACATAAGGATCATTTTCCTATTTAAAGCTGGACTCTTCTATAGTTACATTGAGAAATAAAACTGAAGGAAAATTAATGTAAATACAGAAGAAGCTTTAAATAGAAAAACATTTAATTACAGTTTTTGAGTGAGATGCTAATGGTCTAATCGGATTCAATTATCTATGCTAAGCTAAGCTAAAAGTGCTCCCACAAGACCAGCAAATCGACTGAACGGATTCAAAAATGTTGCAAAGTAGTCTTCTGTGGGCCTCAACCTTCAAATCTGACCTTTATTCTGTTTTCTCTATTGGATTCGATTCAGGTGATTGGCTGGGCCATTCTACAGCTTGATTTTCTTTCTCTGAAAGCATCTGAGAGTCTCATTGGCTGTGTTTTGGATCATTGTCTTTCTGAAATGGTTTAATCTTCATCCTCCAGCTGATGTAGATGTTGGACTGAAGCAGCTGATATTCATTTTCACTGAGGAAGGGCAGAGGCTTGCTGACGAACTACTGAGAGATTTCAGCTGCTGTCTGGGCTTTCACTGCCGAACTACACCTCCCTTTCTTCATGTGTTCAATAATAGATTCAAAAAGAGTAAAACTTCACTGTTTAAAGGGCACCTATTATACAAAAATCACTTTTAAATGGGGTTTAAACACAGTTGTGTGGCAACAGTAAATACAGCCAGCCTATATAAAAGTAAAATAATTTAAATCTATTTGTTATAATCAGACTTGATCAAAACAGTCTGGGGAAACACTTTGATTGACATTCTCCCTTTGTGCGTGTCATCAGAGGGGAAAGCTCCGCCCACTACTGGCCATCTCTCCGTCATTAACATATGACATTAGTCTCGTTTTTGAATCTGCCACAATGCAAACATAGTGCATTAGTAGCCCCGCCCTTTTTAAAAACATCACAATCTCATTTGAATTTAAAGCGACAGTCACCAAAACGCCACAATTAGGATCAAAGCCCAAATGGGGCAGTGTCAGAAAATTTGAAAACATTATCTGTGTGCTGAAACTTCACTACACACTCTAGGGACATCAGAGACTTATTTTACATCTTGTAAAAAGGGGCAGAATTTTTAGAAATGACAAAAAGGCAACTTCCCACAACACAAAGTCAATGGAGAGGGTTGGGTTGTAGCCCCAGGTGTGGGCGTGGCCTAAATGTGCTGTGTTCTATACATCGCCACACTCACTGTAAGTGTGTGTGTGTGTGTGTGTGTGTGTGTGTGTGTGACTCTTACTGGCAGACTTGGCAGGTGACGTCAGACTGCAGGCCTCCAGTGAAGATTTGGTCAATGATGCAGTTGCAGTGGTTTGGGTTGTTGGCTTTTTTCCCATTGTCATCTCCTTGGTGGATATGGAAGCAACACATGAAACACACACACACACACACGCACACGCAAACACACAGAAAAAGAGAGAGAGAAAAAGAGAGGAGGAAAAGCATTGTTACAAATCACCTGATCAATTGTGTAATTTTTTAATTGATGATCATTTTAATAATTATTGTAGTCTTTTTTGTTTATTTGTGTATGTATTCATCAGATTTCTAATTGTGTTTAATCTACAAATTTGGTCAGAAATATTACAAACAAACCTGCATAAATAAAACAGTTTAATTTTACATTATTATTATTATTATTATTAAATATTTTTTCTTACATTATCCTTCAAAATGAGTCTTCATTCTTTCATTTTCTTTTCGGTTTAGTCCCTTTATTTATCAGGGGTCAGCACAGCACAACTATTCCAGCATATGTTTTACACAGCGGATGCCCTTCCAGCTGCAACCCAGTACTAGGAAACATTCATACACTGTCATTCACACTCATACACTACGGACATATTAGCCCACCCAATTCCCCAATAGCGCATGTGTTTGGACTGTGGGGGAAACCGGAGGACCTGGAGGAAACCCATGCCAACACAGGGAGAACATGCAAACTCCACACAGAAATGTCAACTGACCCAGCCGAGGCTCAAACCGGTGATCTTCTTGCTGTGAGGCGACAGTGCTAACCACTGCACCACCCCTCTTATAACCACATTAGTATATTTATTTATGTATGTATGTATTTATCAAATTTCTAATTGTATTTGTATTGTATTGTTTATTTTACTCATTGTGCTGTCAATTCTTGACCAGTCATGCCAATAAAGCTTTTTAGAACTGAACTGAGAGAGAGTTAGAAAGAGGGAGCGATTGTGTGTGTGCGCGATTAGAAAGCAGCGCTCGGCTCTCTGCAGAAACAGCCCTCCCTTCACGATCACACTGCAGAAGGAAAACGAGGCTCTGTCTGCTCCATCTCCCACTCACTTCCTGTGGGCCTCGTCCGTCTGCAGCGCCCACCACACTGACCCTGAGTCCAGCACACACGCACATACATACATACATATCCATTTACATACATATATAGATTTATAAATATATAAAATTATATATATTTATAAATGTATAAAATATATATATATGTATATATATATATATATATATATATATTTTTTTTTTATATATTTATTATATATATATACATATTTATTTATATATATTTATATAATATATTTATATATAAATATAAAAATATAATATAATATATATTTTTTAAATAAATTTATTTATATATTTATTTTTTATTTATTTTAAATATATATATATATATATATATATATATATATATATATATATACATATATATATATATACATATATATACACACACACATTTATTTATATGTAATTTTACACATATACATACATTTTTTTTATAAATTTATATATATAAATTTATATATACACACACACACACACTTATATATAATTTTTTTTATTATATATATATATATATATATTTTTTAAATTTTTTTTATTATATATATATATATATATAAACACATATACACCATCATGAAGTTTTTCTTTCATTATTTCAGCAAATAGGATTGTAAACTAATAATTAGCTGTACTCTCTCATTCACTGTACTATGAGTTTACCAACTATGACGACTTCTGAGAAACCCGCAAATGTGTAAAGGCTCCTTCATGAGCTGCAGGAATAACAGCTGCATGTGAACAGCAGTCAGTCATTGAGTTGTGAAATACAGCTGTCATCACTAACACGCGTCTGCTTCATTATCCAACACCCATTTCATCCAAAAAGTGGCCAGGTGGAACTAATATAATTAACAAGCTAATGCTGCTTTTCATTCAGTCCGCAAAGACGCAGCGTACAACGTCTGCTGCTGTCTAACTCGGAAACATTGCAGAAAGTCAGAGGTGTGGCATAAATGAGGAGTTATATCAAAAAATACAGATAAACAATGGAAAAATCCTACACAGTTATTTAAATATTGCTTTCTGATATCTAACAATTTTACACACACACACAGAAACACACAGAGAAATGGTCTCTGATTGGCTGAAACAGAAAAATGACTTGCTGAAATACTGAGAAACAGCCTCTGATTGGCTGAAGCACAAAGAAATGGCCTCTGATTAGCTGAAGCACACAGAAAATGGCCTCTGATTGGCTGAAACACACAGAAAAGGGCCTCTGATTGGCTGAAACACAGAAAATGGCCTCTGATTGGCTGAAACACACAGAAAATGGCCTCTGATTGGCTAAAACACAGAGAAATGGCCTCTGATTGGCTGAAACACAGAGAAAATGGCCTCTGATTGGCTAAAACACAGAGAAATGGCCTCTGATTGGATGAAGCACACAGAAGAGCAAACTCTGATTGGCTGAAACAGATAAGTGGTGTCTGATTGGCTGAAACACAAAAAACAGCCTCTGACTGGCTGGAGCACACAGAGGTGGCCTCTGATTGGCTGAACACAGAGAAATGGCCTCTGATTGGCTGAAACTATGAGAAGTAGTGTCTGATTAGCTAAAACCCTAAGAGAACTAGCCTGATTGGCTGAAACAAACTGAAAGTAGTAGTCTCTCATTGGCTGAAGCACACAGAGATGCAAACTCGGATTGGCTGAAACCAACAAAAACAGTCTCTAATTGGCGGAAACAACGAAAACAGCCTCTGATTGGCTAAAACAAAGAGAAATGGCTTCTAATTGGCTGAAACACGGACAGAAGTGGTGTCTGATTGGCTAAAACACAAAGCGAACGAGCCTCTGATTTGCTAAAATACAGAAAAAGTCTCTGATTGGATGAAACACACAGACAAATGGCTAGTAGCGGTGTCTGATTGGTTTAAACACTAAGAGAACCAGCCTCTGATTGGCTGAAACACACAGAGATGTAGTCTCTGATTGGCTGAAACACACAGAGATGTAGTCTCTGATTGGCTGAAGTACATAGAGAAGCAAAGTCTGATTGGCTAAAACACAAAAAAAAACAGAAGCACACAGAGAGGTGGCCTTTGATTGGCTGAGATACACTAACAAAAGTGGCGTCGAATTGGCTGAAACACTAAGAGAAACAGCCTCTGATTGGCTGAAGCACACAGAGAAACCACCTCTGATTGGCTGAGGCACAAATAGGCCTGGTGTGATTGGCTGCAGTACCTTTGCAGTGTCTGTGCAGCACGTCGAGCGCGGCGATGAGGAACTCGTGCGCGTCCTGCTGCTCGTATCCGGCCAGGTGTCGGGCGTGAGTCCACACTAGATGTAGCAGCCGGAAGGGAATGTGCGGAGAGCGGTGACCCGAGTAAAACTGCACAACACACACACACACACACACACACACAGAGAAAAAACACAATCATCATCCACACACACATCAGCCAATCAATCAGGATCACCACATTCATCAGTGTGTAGAACAATGTCTGTGTGTGTGTGTGTGTGAGTAAGTGTGTTAGTACGTGTATATGTATGTGTGTTGTGTGAGAGGTGTATATGTGTGATTTCACAATGTGCGAGTTATGTGTGTGACAATATATGTGTGTGAGGCATTTGTGTATGAATTGTAAGCGTGCGTGTGTGTGTGTGTGTGCTTGTGTGAATACACATGTTTGTGTGTGTGTGTGTGAGTGAGTATACTTGTGCGCGATGCATGTGTGATGCCGTTTTATGTGAATATGTATGCATGTGTATATATATATATATATATATAGTACATCACGTGTGTGTGTGTGTGTGTGTGTATATATGTGTTTTTTCCTACTTCTCTCACCTCCTGAAATAGGTGTGTGTGTGTGTGTGTGTGTGTAGCCCTCACCTCCTGAAATAGGTGTGTGTGTGTGTGTGTGTGTGTGTGTGTAGCCCTCACCTCCTGAAATAGGTGTGTGTGTGTGTGTGTGTGTGTTTGTGTGTGTGTGTGTAGCCCTCACCTCCTGAAATAGGTGTGTGTGTGTGTGTGTGTGTGTGTGTGTGTGTGTAGCCCTCACCTCCTGAAATAGGTGTGTGTGTGTGTGTGTGTGTGTGTGTGTGTGTGTGTGTGTGTGTGTGTGTGTGTGTGTGTGTGTGTGTGTGTGTGTGTGTGTGTGTGTGTGTGTGCGCGTGTAGCCCTCACCTCCTGAAAGAGTTGAGACATCTCACACACGAGGCAGGAGTTGGACTGCATCTCACACTTGTGTCTGTCGGACAGAAAGAAGTCCCTCAGCAGCGGAGTGTGTGTGAGAGCCTGAACGATGCAGTTCATAAAGCACGTGTTGCCCAGGTTTATCAAACCACGCAGTCCTGAAACACACACACAAGACAGACAGTGCGGAGAGATCAAACACAAAGAAGAAAACAGCAGGAAAGAGTGTGAAAAACAAAGATGACTCATTTTGTCATATTGAACACACAATGAAAGATTCATCACCGATACACATGACAAGAAAAAAAAAAAACACTTTAGCCTTGTGCTGAACGAGTTCACTTATTCATGATTCAACACCGTGTGAGCAACAGCGGCTGCTTTCAGGACAAAACTGATCGAATTCATTAAATACTACAATTCCTATAATAATCACTGACATTATGGAGACAGATGGTCAGACAGAGAGAGATGAATGGACAGACAGACAGCCAGACGGACGAAGAAACGAACAGGCAGGCAGACAGGCGCATGGATAGGTGGACAGACAGGTGGGTGGACGAATAGGCAGGGGATAAACAGGCAGGCAGATGAACAGGCGGGTGGAAAAACAAGAGGGGAGACGAACAGGCGGGTTGACAGACGAGCAGGGGGGCGGACGAGAAACAGGCGGGCGGACGGACGAGCAGGCTTGTGGACAAAGTGGTGGGTGGATGAATAGGTGGACGGGCAGGTGGACGGATAGGCGGACGGACAGCTGGACGGGACAGGCGGACGGGACAGGCGGGAGGACAGGACGGACGGACAGGACGGATGGACGGACAAAAAGGTGGACGGATGGAATAACAGGCGGGTGGACAGGGCGAACGGACAGGAGGACGAACAGGCGGACAAACAGACACGGACAGACAGATGGACAGACAGACAGACAGGTGGACAAAATAACAGGCCAACAAACAGACAGATAAACAGATAGATAGACAGACAGGCAGATGAAAAGACAGGTGGACAAAGAGACGGGACGAAGAGACAGACAGGTGGATAAACAGACAGGGGGACAAATAGACAGGCAGACGAAGAGACAGACAGGCGATTGAAGAGACAGGCGGACGAAGAGACAGGCGGTTGAAGGGACAGGCGGACGAAGGGACAGACAGGCGGACGAAGGGACAGACAGGCGGACGAAGAGACAGACAGGCGGACGAAGAGACAGACAGGCGGACGAAGAGACAGACAGGCGGACGAAGAGACAGACAGGCGGACGAAGAGACAGACAGGCGGACGAAGAGACAGACAGGCGGACGAAGAGACAGGCGGACGAACAGACAGACAGGCGGACGAACAGACAGACAGGCGGACGAACAGACAGACAGGCGGACGAGCAGACAGGCGGACGAGCAGACAGGCGGACGAGCAGACAGGCGAACGAGCAGACAGGTGGACGAACAGACAGGCAGGCGAAGAGACAGGTGCATGAACAGACAGACAGACAGACAGGAGGACGTACAAAGGCAGACAGACGGATGGATGGACAAATGGACACAGACAAAGAACAGACAGGCGAACAGACGGATAGACGAATGGACAAAGACAGCCCAAAGGATAGGTGGATAGAAAAAGACCATAAGAGACAAAGACATCCAGGGAGACAGATGGACAAACACAGACAGACAGATAGATAGATGGACAGATGGACTGAAAGGAGGAGGAAAGCACATGAAGACAGCATGAAGGATTGATGGATGGAGATAAAAACAGCCGGACAGAGAGAGAGAGAGAGAGAGAGAGACAGACTAACAGACAGACAGCATGCGCACACAGGGAGGCTAAACGTGCTGATCTGGCCCTTCTCCAAACACACATCTGCTGCTCAGAGATCAGTTAGAGAGAAGAAAACCTGCTAACAGACCTGGAGAGAGGAACACGAGCTGCTTCATCCACGCTTTCAGCTGCTGATGTATTATTGATGACCACCAGTGATTCAACATCATAAACACACACACACACATTCTGACAGAGACCCCCTGCTTCAGGATCAACAGGAGACGCGATCCACAGGAAGAATCAGCTGACACAGACAAACCAGCATGTCCACAGCGGGAACTGTGGCGGAAATAACCAATCATCTCAAGAGAGTCATTTACTCAGGAATCATTTTGGTGGCATGGTATGTTTTTGATTCACTATAAAGAGCTGACTCCGAGTCATTTGCTTAATCTAATTACTCTGATGTTCATTGCATGTTCTTGATTCACCAAAGAGAACCATCTCAAAAGAATCATTTGAATCATTCTGGTCATGCTAAACGATTCTGATTCACATTAAACCAAGCAATTTGTTCAGGAAATAGGTGAATCGTTCTGGATCAACTGCATGTTCAGTATACTGATATGACTCAAAAGAGTCATTTGATTCAGAATCAGACAACACTGCTGCATGAGTTTGGTATACCAAAAGAAGCAGCATCTCAACAGAATAAATAGGTTCACTTTTGTTTCTTTGTATGTTTTTATTCGCTATAAAGGCCTGTCTCGAGTCACTCCTCCAGCCATTTGTTCAGGAATCAGTTGGTTCACTTGTTGAACTTTATACTTTTGATTCAATTTAAATGTTCTGACTGAAAAAGAGTCATATGTTCAGGAATCAATTGTTCACTGAATGCACTACATGCTTTTGATACACTAAAATATTTGGCTAAAGAGTAATTTGTTCAGGAATCTATTGGTTCACTTGTTGCATTTTATGCCTTTGATTCACTATAAAAAGGTCTGGCTCAAAAGAGTTATATGTTCGGGAAACAATTGGTTCACTTAAATCACTGTAGGCATTTTATTAAATATAAATGTTCTGGCTGAAAAGAGTCATCTGTACATAAATCAATTGATTCACTGTATGCTTTTAAATCAATATAAATGTTCTGGCTCAAAAGAGTCATTTGTACATAAATCAATTGATTCACTGTATGCTTTTGATTAAATATAAATGTTCTGGCTCAAAAGAGTCATTTGTACATAAATCAATTGATTCACTGTATGCTTTTGATTCAATATAAATGTTCCAGCTCAAAAGAGTCATTAGTACATAAATCAATTGATTCACTGTATGCTTTTGATTAAATATAAATGTTCTGGCTCAAAAGAGTAATTTGTAAATAAATCAATTGATTCACTGTATGCTTTTGATTCAATATAAATGTTCTAGCTCAAAAGAGTCATTAGTACATAAATCAAATGATTCACTGTATGCTTCTGATTCAATATAAGTGTTCTGGCTCAAAAGAGTCAATTGTTCAGGAATCAATTGTTCACCCGTTGCACTGCATGCCTGTAAGTCACAAAAATGTTTGGCTCAAAAGAGGCATGTTCAGGAATCATTTAGTTCACTTGGTGCATTATATGGTTTTGATTCACTATCAATTGTTTGGTTAAAAAGAGTCAATTGTTGAGAAATCAGTTTGTTTACTTGATGCGCTGTATGATTTTGATTCACTAAAAAAGCTCTGGCTCAAAAGAGTCATTAGTTCAGGAGTCAATTGGTTCACTCAATGCACTGTAAGTTTTTGATTCACTATAAAAGGTCTGGCTCACAAGAGTCATTTGTTCAGGAGTCAACTGGTTCACTCGTTGCACTGTAAGCTTTTGATTCACTATGAAAGGTCTGGCTCAAAAGAGCCATTTGTTCAGGAATCAATTGGTTCACTCAATGGACTGTATGTTTAATTCACTATTTTATTCAATAACTCAATATAGCTCAAAAGAGTCATTTGTTCAGGAGTCAACTGGTTCAATCGTTGCACTGTACGCTTTTAATTCATTATAAAAGGTCTGCCTCAAAAGAGTCATTTGTTCAGGAATCAATTGTTCACTCGTTGCACTGTAAGCTTTTGATTCACTATAGAATTTAATTAAAAAGAGCCATTTGTTCAGGAATCAATTGGTTCACTCAATGCACTGTATGTTTAATTCACTATAAAAGGTCTAGCTCAAAAGAGTCATTTGTTCAGGAGTCAACTGGTTCAATCGTTGCACTGTACGCTTTTGATTCATTATAAAAGGTCTGCCTCAAAAGAGTCATTTGTTCAGGAATCAGTTGGTTTACTTGTTGCACTGTTGCTTTGATTCAGTAGAAAAGATTTGGCTCAAAAGAGTCATTTGTCTGAAAACAGAACTATGCTTGTGTTTTATGCATGACAAATAAAAAAAACATCTCAAAAGAGTCATTCATTTGTGAATCTGATTCCCAGTAAAGAATGACATCAGATGATTCAGGATCATGTGTTAATTGTTTCATTCCAATTCCCCAATTCTAGTGGTTTTTGGATAAAAACTGGCGCAATAAAACAAAACTGTAATATTTGCTGTTGAAACCAATCTATTATTTCTAATTCCCATCACTCAAGTCTGTTGATGAATCTGATTGGCTGGTTTTCTCACTTCAGCAGTGTTGTGATTGGTTGCGTCGCCTCCAGTGCAGTCAGACTCTAAAACCCAACAGCCGGCCAATCCTGCCCGCACAATATTCCTCTGAATCCATCATACACGGCCCGTATTATGTCCTGAATGATCAATGGCGGCTCCGGCTCTCATACGGCTAATCGCATTAGTGTGTTTCTCTGGGTGTGAGCGAGTGCGGATGCCGTTTAGCGCCTACGCTAGGCCTGTGGTGCAGACATTTAACACCATTACTCCAGCGCCAGGCCCTCAGACTGAGGGGGAAAACAGCCCAAAATGAGAGAAGGGAGAGCGCCAAACCACCGAGACATCATTTCTTTAATGGCTAACATCCATATCGCCCCTTATTCTTTTATTATTATTACAGCATCACATAACACGGCAGATACGAAGACAAAGAAAAGACAAAAATAGGATGTAGGTGTGATTGTGTTATGTGTAAGAAGATAGAGAACATGTACAACTATATAAATGTACACGTGTGATAGGTGTTGGATTACCAAGTACGATGCGATCCTGGATTAACATATTAGTTCATACTGGAATGTCATTTTTGCTCAAAAATATAGTCCATACCTAATTCTTACCCCCCAAACCCAACCCTAATGGTAACTCATGATCAAAATTAAAATGTTGCTTCAGGATATACTTGGTGAAATCACATTAACCGTATACAATATAAATACACGCATACATACATGAATATCTACATGCTTATACACGCACACATACACATATACATATACAGATTCAGTAAGGAGGCTGTGTAAAAAAAATTTAATTCGTAAAAATAAATAAATTAAAACTAAGATGAAAAAATTATTTTAATTAAATTAAGATAAAAATTCATTTAAATAAATCAAAATAAAATAAAATTGAAATTACATAAAAATTTATTAAAATGAAAAAAATTTAAAGTAATAAAAATAAAAATAAATAAAAATTAAATAAAATTATATAAAATAAAGATAAAAATTCATTTAAATAAATCAAAATAAAATTAAACTGAAATTACATAAACATTAATTAAATTAAAATGAAAAGAATGTTTAAAAAATAAATAAAAATTAAATAAAATTATATAAAATAAAAACAAAAATAAAAATCAGTTAAATGAAAACTAATTAATTAAGATAAAATAAATTAAAACTAAATAAAATTATATAAAATAAAAGCAAAATTAAAAAAATTTAACTAAAAATGAGAAAAATAAATTAAATAAAAATAAAAGAAATTTTAAATTAAATTAAAATAAATTAAATTAAAATGAAAAAAAATTATATAAGATAACCAAAAATAAAAATGAATTAAATTAAAATTAAAATTAAGATAAAATCAATTAAATCAAAATAAATTAATTACAATTTAAATAAAAATACATTAAAAATAAATAAATTTTATAAAATAAAAGCAAAATTTTTAAAAATTAAACTAAAATTAAGAAAAATAATTAAATCAAAATAAAATAAAATTTAAATTAAATTAAAATACATTAAATTAAAATGAAATGAAAAAAATTATATAAGATAAAAACAAAAATAAAAAGTAATTAATTTCAAATGAATTCAAATTAAAATTCACATAAAAATCAATTAAATTAAATAAAAATAAATTCGTTACAATTAAAATAAAAAAAATTATAAAAATAAATTACATTTAAAATAAGTTAAATTAAACAAAAAAAGTAAAATTAAAATTTTAAATAAATAAAAAAAACAAATTAAATAAAATTAAAAAAATTAAATGAAAATAAATTAATTAATTAAATTAAAAATAAAAATAAATTAAATTAAAATGAACAAATTACATTTTCGTAAAAATAAATAAATATAAACCAATATAATGTAATAAAAAAACTAAATGAGAAGAAACAATTATATATTTAAGAATGCACATGCAAAAAAAATGGATGACAATCATTTAAAACTGACGGCCAACAAACACAGTGCTCTTGGCTGGTGTGCAGTCTGCAGTCTCTAGACATCTGACGACTCTGAATTCATTTGAACCGACTAGTTTTACACAGATGAGTTTTGGCGGAGCTCTAATCACCTGCTCCGTGCCAAGCTGTATTATTGAACAGTGTTTCAGAAAAGCGCGGCCCGTGGGAAATGAAGCTCTTACCTATGGTGCAGTTGGCTGTGATTTTCCTCCGTTTGGGATTGTGTCGCAGCAGCTCCAGCTCTCGTTTCGTTGGTTCCCACATTGAATATTTCTCTCCAATACCTGATGTTGTAGAGAATGTGCATGTCATTTTCACAATATTCAACAAGGATGCATTACAAAATCACAGGTACATCATGACAACAATGACATTTTTTGGGTGAATTATAACTTATAAATACAGTGTGTGACTCTCAACACATTTTGGAGGTGTCCATGTTGGTGAGCAATGTATATAAATCAAAGTGAAGACTTGTGCGACCACCTTTATGCTTCTGTCCTGACCTTGAAAATATAAGTGGCTGAATCGCAGAAAAGCTGAATTAAGATTGTGTAGGGTCGAATCGAGATCGGTTTTCGATTAATCGTGCAGCCCTAATAAAGAATATTAAGATTTATTGTTCATTCTGTAATAATAAACCATATCTGGGTGCCATAATTAATCATCCGACTGATGTTATGAAGAGAATTTAGTATGTCAGTAAATCTCTTTTTGCAAACCGGCTCAAACTAAAAACTACTTCTCACTGTAATAACCCATTATATGTATTTTCATTATAAGGACATGTCAAATTTTGTATTATGGTTAAATTTTTACTCATCACTAAGGCATCTTTCAGATTAAATTGAAAATATCTTTATTTATGTTCTTAATGTTCTGAAGACGAACGAACGTCTCTAATGAATTGAGATGAGAAAATCAATTAAAATAAAATTCATTAAAATTTAAATTCAGATACAATAAATTTAATTAAATAAAAATAAATAAAAATAAAAAATTATATAAAATAAAAACTAAAATAAATTAAAGTAAAAATCATGAATATTAAATTAAAATTAAATAAAAAGCAAAAAAATACATAAAAATAAAATTAAGATAAAAATAAACTAAATTAAATCAAAATGAAATTAAAAAAATGAAATTAAAATAAAAATGAAAAGAAATTAAAGTAAAAATAAATTTAAATTAAATAAAATTATAGATGATAAAAACAAAAATAAATTAAATTAAAATTAATTCCAATTAAAATTAAGATAAAAGTAAATAAATTAAATTTAAAATAAATTTAAATATGTTTAATTAAAATACATGAATTACAATAAAAATTAAAATAAATTAAAATAAAATAAAATTATATACGATAAAAACAAAAATAAATTAAATTAAATTAATTCAAATTCAAATTAAGATAAAAATAAATGAATAACAATTAAAATTAAAATATATTTAAATTAAATTATATATATATATAAAATAAAAAGTGCTGTAGTGCTGTTGCCTCAAAGCAAGAAGGTCGCTGGTTCAAGCCTTGGCTGGGTCAGTTGGCTTTTCTGTGTGGAGTTTGCATGTTCTCCACGTGTTGGCGTGGGTTTCCTCCGGGTGCTCCGGTTTCCCCCACAGTCCAAACACATGCGCTATAGGGGAATTAGGTAAGCTAAAATGTCTGTTGTGTATGTGCATGAATGAGTGTGTATGGATGTTTCCCAGAGATGGGTTGCAGCTGGAAAGGCATCCGTTGCGTAAACCATATGCTGGATGAGTTGGTGGTTCATTCCGCTGTGGCAACCACAGATTAACAAAGGGAGTAAGCAGAAATGAAAATGAATGAAAATAAAAAACCAAAATAAAAATAGCTTGAGCTCTAATCAGGCTCACAAAACAAAACACACACTCTTGCCCTCCTGTGGCTCACAGCATTACAGTCTCCAACATTAATATACCTGAATTAACAGCCCACAAGCCACAGGCCGAGCTAAACCACATCACGCAGGCAGGGCAGCAAAAAAAAAAAAAAAAAAAAATCTACCTTGCAATTTCCACGCTTTTCTTTGTTCTTCTTTGGCAATCTGCTCCATGTCTTTGTCGTATATGTAGTCTTGGCACACAAAGCAATATATTCCACCATACAAAAGGTCTATAGCTGAAACACAGAGAACGAGAGAGCATCTATTAAAGTCAAAGTTGACGTTTGCATTTTCCCCTGTAAATATGAAGGCATTAATGCAACACTGCTCGGTGCAGCAAATAATAAGTGATGAGAATAATAATTAGGATGCAGCATGGGAAACATCCATCTCTGCACGTGCCACAATATCATCATCCTCTGTCAAATAATAGCTGCTTCTACCCTTTTTTGGGCAATAATATAATAATCTAACCACTAAGATGCAAATCACAATGCACGTTATGATGCATAATAATGAGGAATTTAAAGGGACAGCGCACCCAAAAATGAAAATTGTGATTATTTTACTCACCCTTGAGCCTTGGCTTATTTTAAACTAGTTAAACACAAAAGATCCTACGATAAATCTCAAAGTATTCTTTTTTATTCCTATTTATATACTGATTACATATTGCAAATGTTAATGCTATTGATATTTATATTCTATCCAATGCAGCATGGGAAACATCCATCCCTGCACGTGCCAAAATATTGCCATCCTATTGCCAAATACTAGTGGCTTTTACCTTTTTTAATGTGCTAAATCACTAATATGCAAATAAAATACTATGAATAATTATTATGATGCATAATATTGAGGAAATTAAAGAACAGCGCACACAAAAATGAAATGGTTAATATTTTACTCCCCCATGACTTGTTTCACACCAGTTAAACCCAAAAAACAGTATAATAAATGTCAAAATATCATGTTTTATTCCAGTTTATATTCTTTCCCATGCAGTATGGGAAACATTAATACACAGAGAACGAGAGAGCATCTATTAAAGTCAAAGTTGACGTTTGCATTTTCCCCTGTAAATATGAAGGCATTAATGCAACACTGCTCGGTGCAGCAAATAATAAGTGATGAGAATAATAATTAGGATGCAGCATGGGAAACATCCATCTCTGCACGTGACACAATATCATCATCCTCTGTCAAATAATAGCTGCTTTTAGTCTTTTTTGGGCAATAATATAATAATCTAACCACTAAGATGAAATTACAATGCACGTTATGATGCATAATATTGAGGAATTTAAAGGGACAGCGCACCCAAAAATGAAAATTGTGATTATTTTACTCACACTTGACTTATTTTAAACTAGTTAAACACAAAAGATACTACGATAAATCTCAAAATATACTGTTTTATTTCTATTTATATACTGATTACATATTGCAAATGTTAATGCTATTGATATTTATATTCTATCCAATGCATCATGGGAAACATCCATCTCTGCACATGCCAAAATATCGCCATCCTATTGCCAAATACTAGTGGCTTTAACCTTTTTTAATGTGCTAAATCACTAATATGCAAATAAAATACTATGAATAATTATTATGATGCATAATATTGAGGAAGTTAAAGGAACAGCGCACACAAAAATCAAAACGGTTAATATTTTGCTCCCCATGACTTGTTTCACACCAGTTAAACACAAAAAAACTGTATAATAAATGTAAAAGTTTTATTGTTTTATTATTATCCATTTATATTCTAATTGCATATTGCAAATGTTAGTTTTATTCTTATTTATATTCTACACCATGCAGCATGGGAAGCATTCATCTCTGCACATGCCACAATATCATCATCCTCTGTCTAATTCTACTGGCTTTTGTCTTTGTCAACAATATAATGTGCTAACCACTAAGATGCAATCAAATACAACAAATGCATATTATAATGCATAATATTAAGACATTTAAAGGGACGGCGCACCCAAACATGAAAACTCTTACCATTTTACTCCTCCTTGACTCGTTTTAAACTAGTTAAACGCTAAAGATAAGATAATAAATGTTAGTTTTATTCTTTATCCATCTTTGCATTTGCCACAATATCACCATCCTCTTGCCATATACTGGTGGCTTTTACCTTTTTTAAGGCAATAATGTAATGTGCTAACCACTAAGATGAAATTAAATACAATAAATGCATAATATTAAGGAATTTAAAGGGACAGCGCACCCAAAAATGAAAGATGTTGTCATTTTACTCACCCTTGACTTGTTTCAAACCAGTTCAACACTAGAGACAGTATAATTAATGTCATAATATAATGTTTTATTCTTATTTATATTCTTTCCAATGCAGGATGGAAAACATCCATCTCTGCACATGCACAATATCACCATCCTCTTGCCATATACTAGTGGCTTTACCTTTTTAAGGCAATAATGTAATGTGCTAACCACTAAGATGAAATTAAATACAATAAATGCATAACATTAAGGCATTTAAAGGGACAGCGCACCCAAAAATGAAAATTGTTGTCATTTTACTCACCCTTGGGTGGTTTCAAACCATTTCAACGCTAAAGATAGCATAATAAATGTCATAATATGATGTTTTACTCTCATCTATATTCTAATTACACACTACAAATGTTAGTTTTATCATTATTTTAATAGCATCTCTGCATGTGCCACAATTTCATCACCATCCTCCAAATATCAGAGGTGTTATTGATGCATTATCGCTCTCTGATTTCTCATTCAGTGCATTTCTCGGAGCCCGCACTGCCAATACCTGTTTCTCAGTTCCCATGGCAACCTGACGATGGTCTGTTTGGCACAGACGCACTAAATGTTCGCAGGTGGAGCGTCTATTTGTGACTCGACACTAATGCAGAGCCTGGCGCGACCCGCCGACAGGTGCTCGGACTATGAGGCTTTTAGTGGCTTTCAGCGGCTGGATGTTTGCTATTTCCAGCGATTGCAAAAGGGACAGAGGTCTCATTGTTGAACTGGCAGGACGCTAACAATCGGCACAGGCATGTGGTAAATCTGCTCAAAACAGGAGCGCTTTACCTTCTAAATAAACGCACTAAAGTCTCTTGTTTGTGCACGATTAGGATTTATTAGTGCAAATGCAATGGAAGCAAACCAATAATGTGCTAACCACCAAGATGCAATCAAATACTATGAATGCATGTTATGATGCAGAACACTGAGGAAGTTAAAGGGACAGCGCAACAATAAGTGAAATTGGTATCATTATTATACTAACACTTGACTTGTTTCAAACTAGTTCAACACAAAAGATAGTATAATTACTAGGGTTGGGTACCGAAACCCTTTGTAATAGATATGTACCGGATCAAATCGGCATTTGGATTTTGGTGCCACTGGTGCTGCAACAAGGACATCAAAAGCATCAAAGGTGCATCAAAGGCACACATATGGCCCGTTTCCACTGAAGGCTGATTTATACTTCTGCGTCAAACACCGGCGTATGCTACGGCGCTGACGCATAGCCCTTCGCCGTCGCTGATGTGCACCTCTCAAAAAATGTAACTACACGTCGCAACGACGCGTACCGTAAGCTATGTGATTGGTCGGCTTGGTAGCGCTGACGAGTCTGGGCGGGGCCGAGAGGCGCGCGAATGGCGCGACGCCACGTGAGCGATTGTTTACAAGTGTGGAGTACTGTGAAGGAGCTCCTGATGGAAAGTTTTGTTTTGTGTTTACCTCACAGTTAAAGTTGTTGCACGTCCGCCGGTTCCTGCCTCAAAATGAGCGAGTTTGAGCCACTTGTACATCCCGGAAGTGTTCAGGAAATGCAAAAAAGTTGCGAAGAAACTCGACACAGAGGAACATTTACACCTCACTGCCAACTAGCGTTTCGGAAGTGTTAATGCAGACCGACAGAGACGGCGCGCAGAAGTATAAATGCACAGCCACGCGCGTTGCCTGCGCCGTGGGTTACGCCGGTCACCTGACGCAGAAGTATAAATCAGGCTTGAGTGGTACGGTACGGTATGGTTTGGTACGCTTTTATGGCCATTTCCACTGTCAAAGGGTCCTTTCGAAAGGGTCCCAAACAGCAGAAAGGGTCCCAAAAGGCGGAGCTAGACGCGCAGCTGAACGCTATTGGTTTACAGAGATACGTCATTCGTAGACTCAACAAGCCAGAATGTAAACAAAGGACCCGCCATGTTTGAAATACACAGCGAGAGATTACAGCGGAATTATAAATGCATATGCAGCCATGGTCGATCCTGAAAACAAACCCTGTCGTCGTCATGATAAACAGCCACAAAGCCATGGAGAAGAGCAGATTCACCCTGTGCCGCGTAGTTTTATACGGGCCAGTCTGAAGCCAGAGGGGTTTCGATTTCATTCTTAGAGCCGCACGACTCTATCTAAAATAACAAACTTCTTGATCTGATGATAATAACATGCACTTGATTATTGACAAGCTTTGGAAACCCGATCCTGTGAGAAGCTGACAAACGCGAGAGACACATTCAGAAAGAAAAGGACAAACGCGAGAGTGGAGCGCGGGAAAAAGGCGAAGCCAAGCAGCACGTTATTTCTTCAGCAAACGTGAACAAACTGCCTTGTTTTAATCTTTATTATCACCTTTTGGACTAATATGAACTGGGAATGGTGGAATGACTCTCTAACAGAGGCTTCATGTGCTGCTGAAGATTACAGACACAGATGAGAGGTTTACACTGACTGTAGGCTATACTTTGTGTTGTTTTGAACGTAATTAACGACGAAATGTCTGCTTTGTGTAGTTCTTCTGTAGTTGGTAACATATCGAAGACTGTAAGGGGTTGTATGTGTTCATACATGTTCATTTATTTATTTATTTAATATAATTATAGACGTTACAGTAGGCTATTTCGCACCGTCATTGATCTGCAGTTATAAACAACTCCTGTTTATAGAAAAGTTAGTAATGAACATTTATACACAAGTATTTATGTGTTTTGTGAGAAGTGCTTTTCATATGATATGTAAACGATCTGTGCAGCTTTATTGTAGACATTTTCTCAAGCGAAAATGACGTCGACTGAAACTTTGTCATACACCACGCACACCAAAAGGGTACCCTTGGTAGTGGAAACGCAAGCCTGATAAAGGTGACCCGTACCGACCTGTACTGTACTAGTCAGTGGAAACGAGCCCTTAGGTATGCGTCGTTACAACATCTCTAAACAACTTTCAGGAAAACTGACAGGTAGGCTTGGGCGGTATCCAAATTTTGATACCGCTATTTTACCCCAGTATTACCGTGCATAATAAAAAAAATATGACATAAGGCTCAGACAGCGTCACCAAACTGTTGGCTTGTGCCTTAACCATTCAGAAACTGAATACCGTATATGCGACCTTCTGTTCGCGGTCACCCGTTTGTCTTGTTTGTATTAGAGATCTGCATGGGATGCTCATGCACACACGCACACGCACACACACACACACACACACACACACACACACACACACACACACACACACACACACACACACACACACACACACACACACACACACTAAACCTCAAGTGCTTAATCAGTTTAATTTGGTTATTTATCCCCCAAACCCAAATAATAGATTGAATCTGCTAGTGTTTATTCTTCTTCTTCAGTGTTTTCATTTCATCACGACTCTGAAAGCGCTGTAAAGCGTCGCCATTTCAATAGATGCTTTTAAGTCAGTGCAAGTCTGAAAGTGTGACTCATACAAGCTAGATTTAAACAGTATTTAGATATGCATGTAGAAAAAAAGAGAGAAGTTGCACAACAGAATGAGGTGGGGCTGCATCATGCACACACACACACAGACGCACACACACACACATCAGATGAATAAACCAAAAGCATAGCAGGCCTTCAGGTAACCATGGGAACCAGCAGAAGACGAAAAAAAAAGAGGAAAGAACTGTGAGATCAAGCCTGTCGAGTGTCAGTCGACAAAAAAAAAAAAAACACAGTAAACGGAGGACGAGAAACAAAAAATAAATAAATGAAAAAAAAAAAAAAAAAAAAAAAAAAAAAAAAAAAAAAAAAAATCGCAACAAAATGTAGCGCAAGAAAAAAATCCCAGACTTAATTACTCGCCGTTGGTCTTTGGAGAATAATCACGTTTTTTTTCCTCGTCACAGTGGCGCTCATTCACAGTTATCCCATGAACGGAGAATAACCTAATTAAATGTTCAATCAAACTCCGAGGGGAACTGAACGCACACACACACACACACGCACGCACGGGTGTAAAGACAGAGCGATGCCTCAATGACACCTGGGGAAATGGCGAGATTCAGTAATACTGCAGATGCACTGTGACGTCGAGGGCAAGAGAAATAATATATCATCCCCTGAGGAAAAACGAAATCCCGCTGGACCAATGGCAGGAGGCCAAAACACAAACAAAGCTATTTATTAATGAATAAATGGGTTCAAACTCAGCACACCTGAAGAAACAGCGATGGCTGCGTAAGAGAAAAGTCCATGTTAAAGTGTGCAAGAAGCAAACACGTGTTCAAAATCACTACTAATACTAGCTTAAAGATTTATTAAAAGTAACATATCGGTCTCCTGACCCTCATCAGACTTATACACTCACTGGCCACTTTATTAGGTACACCTTACTTGTACCGGGTTGGACCCCTTTTGCATTTAGACCTGCCTTAATCCTTCGTGGCAGAGATTCAGCAAGCTACTGGAAATATTCCTCAGAGATTTTGCTCCATCAGAGCATCACACAGTTGCTGCAGATTTGTCGGCTGCACATCCATGATGCCAATCTCCCGTTCCACCACATCCCAAAGCTGCTCTATTGGATTGAGCTCTGCTGACTGTGGAGGCCATTTGAGTACAGTGAACTTATCGTCATGTTCAAGACACCAGTCTGAGATGATTGAGCTTTATGACATGCTGCGTTATCCTGCTGGAAGTAGCCATCAGAAGATGGAGACACTGTGCTCATAAAGGGATGGACATGGTCAGCAGCAATACTCAGGTAGGCTGTGGCGTTGATGCTCAATTGGTACTAATGGACCCAAAGGAAATCTCCCCCACACCATTACACCACCACCACCAGCCTGAACCGCTGATACAAGGCAGGATGATCCATGCTTTCATGTTGTTGAGGCCAAATTGTGAGCCGAGCATCTGAATGTGTGAGCAGAAATGGAGACTCAGAGCAGCAACGTTTCTCCAATCTTCTATTGTCCAGTTTTGGTGAGTCTGTGTGAATTGTAGCCTCAGTTTCCTGTTCTTAGCTGACAGGAGCGGCACCCGGTGTGCTCTTCTGCTGCTGTAGCCCATCCGCCTCAAGGTTGGACGTGTTGTGTGTTCAGAGATGCTCTTCTGCAGAGCTCGGTTGTAACGAGTGCTTATTTGAGTTACTGTTGCCTTTCTATCAGCTGGAACCAGTCTGGCCATTCTCCTCTGACCTCTGGCATAGGGCTGGGCTAATGATGCTCGCTTTGAACTGCAGCAGATCGTCTTGACCATGCTGAAATGCATTGAGTTGCTGCCATGTGATTGGCTGATTAGAAATTTGCGCTAAGGAGCAGTTGGACAGGTGTACCTAATAAAGTGGCCGGTGAGTGTGTATTATTTTGACAGATTGTGCATTAATGAAAGTGCTGAAATGTGTGTGGTGGAGCTCAGATTTAGTGTTTTCTCCAGCTCACCTCTCTGAAACAGGTGTGTGCTGAACTGTAAACCCTGGCTGGAAACACACAGAGTCAGGGCCGATTATCCCCTCGCACACTATAATTACCCACAATCCCGTCTGTTTGCGCTTCTTATTTGTTTGTTGTCGGAGGGTGGCTCCCGTGCTCATTAAAACAGAGGGGATAATTACACGGCAGCGATGCATTAAGGAGCTGGGAGATTTCCAAGACCCATCCAAACATCCACAGCCCCGTTTCTGCACTCCGCAAGCAGAAGAAAAGCACTTTTATAATGGCTTGCCGAGCAGAAATTCAACTGGATTTTGGGCCTCGAGTAGGGCTGGGGTATTTAATTACACTAGAATTAATCACTGCATTGCTTTTCAGTGTTCAAAAGTATGATCAAAGCAGAAATGCTGAATCTTCATGCAATTATTACATCTTTATTAACTCAGGTCATCTATTTTTATTCTACATGTACAATGGGCCGTCATAGAAATCTGCAAATTTTTGATGGATACATGGAAACTAGGGCTGTATTTACCTTAAAGCTCTTAAACATGTAAAATAAAATAAAACTTGAAATTATAACAGTAATATATAACAGTTTTTCCATCTAGAATGTTCTTTGGGAAAATATTAAATGCAAAAATCTAAAATTATATTTTAAGATATTGTCAAAAAGATTGATATAATTTCCCTAAAAATTATATTTAAAAAAATGGAATTTAAACATTTTAAAAAATAAATATTTAAAATAATATTTTAATACATAATATAATAATATAATACATAAAAAAGGAAAAAATAATATATTAAAATGATAAGAAAAAATACATAATATAATATATTAAAAGTGATTTAAAAAACTAATTATAAATGATAAAAAATATATAATATAAAAATAAGAAAAAAAATCTACAATATAATATATTAAAAATGTTAAGAAAAATATAATATAATATATAAAAAATGATAAGAAACAAAAATATAATATTTTAAAAATGGTAAGAAAAAATGTATAATATAATATATTAAGTGATTTAAAAAACAAATTATAAATGATAAAAATATGTAATATAAAAATTAAGAAAAAATATAAAATATTAAAAATTACTTGATTTTATATATATATATATATATATATATATATATATATATATATATATATATATATATATATATATATATATATATTTATTTATTTATTATTTTTTTTAAATGATAAGAAAATTATATAATATAATATAATAAAAATCATAAAAAACATAATATATTAAAAATGATAACATACATAACATAATACATTAACAATTATAAGAAAATGGATATATTATATTAAATAGATATATTATATTTTAATATATATCTATTGACAAAGTGATTTATATTTATAAACACTTATTAATTTTAATCTAAAGTGTGGTATATGCACACAGACTATCCAATTCTGTCAGACAGTCAGTCATCCCAGACAAAAATCACAGCGTTTCTTTAAAATCTTCACTGCCTAGCTGAGATACAATATAAAGTGAGAATCAGAGCAAACAAGAAGCACTGCATTGAATTACACTGCTCCGCGCCGTGTCTTTAAAATATGGAATTTAATTTTACCCCAGTATTTTCAATGGAATTTCTGTGCTCGCCTGCTGATATTAATAGCGCCTGCGTTTAAATGTTCTCTCGTCTATTTTATGCTTTAACAACCGAATGAATGCTTAAGTCTATTTAACTGATTATATTTTAGGTACATTACAGCATCGATGCTGTAAAAAGAACCTTATGAAATTAAAAACAGTCACATAAAGCTTTCACCGGAAGTTCATCACTAGCTGTGCATATATTTATCTAATTTAATTCATTAGATGTGCCTTTTAACCACTAAAATAGAAGAGAAAAGGAAAAAATGCATTATTGAGGGAAAAATAAAAACTAAAACATTTACATTTTGGTTAAACTATATTTCTTGATGTCAGTTCATTACAAGCTTTCCTTAAAACATTCATTAATATGTTTTGGCTTTGGCATTAATATGGCTTTGCAATCAAAAATGTGAATATAATAGAAGTCAATGGGGCAAAAACAGCCCCCAACATAACCAAAGCGTAGTCAATTTGCTTGCTTTATTGTTGAATTGTTTATCACTATATTGTTGTCGACAAAAATCATCCAATTTTCTGAAACACAAAGAAAGCCGTGGTCAAATGAAGCCTCAAAATCACCCCTGAGAGGAAGAAAACGACCCAACCACACAAGGGTTAAGATAATCAAGTGGAAAGGCTTGAGTGCTGGCTATTCCTCATCTCAGTCTGAGTTTGTGTTTCTGCACGAGTCTATTTTCTGCCGATGACGTCTGCGGCGTGGGTGACAGAGAGAGAGAGAGCGGCAGTGAATCTTACCTAGGTTGTGTCTCTTGTTTTTGGCGTGTTCGTGGATGTGTTTCTTGCTGAAACAGCCGAAGAACACACAGTGAAGACACGAGTGCAGCCGATTTAGATGAGCTCCACACATGTGACATATACATGACTTCGCCTATGAGGGAAACAGAGATATGCAGGCATTTAGAGAAGACAAACAATATATGTGCAACAGAAATCACTAGTTTATAGACTCCATGAGTAATTAGTTCATTAGAGAACGTCAATGGGTGAACGGAGAAGCCTTTTAAGAGCGATGCATTTTCAAAGGCATGATTATAACCCTTCGAAAGGATGAAGAATCAAATGATTACATTAATAATGCTCAAAACCTCCAAAAAATGATTAATGAAGTGAAAGTCGAGGATCTGAGAAATGATCTTGAAATGAACAGATAAGGACAGTGATTTTGGACAACGCTGTAAAACAAATGATTAATGATGTATTTTTTGCACTTGTTGCATTGAGACAGAAAATCAAAAATCACCAAAGCTGAATATTTTTATTGTGATCCAACCAACGTTATCAAAACTGCCCAAAAGTACCAAAATAGCAGTGATTTTTTATGATTTATTAAACTTTGTATTTATCTATACCAATGAAAATATATGCGTTTAATATAGCTTGCTTTAAAAAAAATATCAATAAAAAAAATATCATTTTGGATTGTTTTTTATGCAGGACCCTAAAACTTTTTTTGTATAATTTGCATTTTTTTTATTATTACAATTTAATTTGACCATAATTTTTTACTTTAAAAAGTTAAATAAATTAATAATTGAATAAACGAACCAATAATACATATGCATTTGTATATAAATAAATACTAATTATTATTAGTATATAAATAAATATATATGTAAATAGATAAACAAAAATTTGTAAATAAATACATATTTGTAGATAAATAAATACATTTGTAAATAAATATATACATGTAACTAAATAAATAATGATAGTGATTTACAAATATATTGAAAATGTTAAAGTTATAAACATTTTTTATATTTGTTATTAAATACATACATATATTTGTAACTAAATAAATATGATATTTTAAATATATATTTAAACTGATTTTATATATTTGTAAATAAATACAGACATATGTTAAATTGATTTAAATTACATTGAAAATGTTCTTTTTATATAAATAATATTTTATATATTAGTAAATAAATAAACAAATAAATATTTATTTGTAATATATAATATATAATATATTATATATATATATATAATATATTATATATATATATATATATATATATATATATATATATATATATATATATATGTGTGTGTGTGTGTGTGTGTGTGTTATTTCAAAATATATTGAAAATGTTATATTTATATAAATAAATTGCTATATATTTGTAAATAAATAAACAAATAAATACAGATTTGTAAATTAGCAGTGTTTTATTACTACATTTTAATTTGACCATAAACTTTTAAAAAAGTAAAATTAATTCATATTTAAATAAAGAAAAAATAATACATAAATTTGTATATTATAAATAAAAATTATTTGTATCAAATATATTTGTAAATAGATGAACAAATATACAGGATTTTAAAATATACTGATATTATATAATATTTTTTATATTTGTAAATAAATACAGATTTGTAACTTAATAAATATAAATGATAAAATAATTTATTAATATATAAAAAATATTTTATGTATATAAACACAATGTTTATATCTATGCATACTAGAGTTAAAATAAAAATCATAAAAAGACAGTCTTTTTTTATTATTGCATGATTCTTTTTAATAATGATCTGAAATATCTCTATAGTGTTGCTTTAAGACCCTGAAACATCTCCAGCGGTTAACAGTTGCCTCTGCTTTTACCTCCAGACTAGCTATTTTTGTAGAGACCCCATTTTCAGCTTCACATCTCGCCATTTTTCTGTTCCCCAAAGATTTAACACCAAACACACAACTGAGAACCGCAATCCTAGCGCACCAATGAGCTCTGAAGCACAGGTGAGGTGAGGGAGGAAGCCTTTATCATTTCACCATCACTTCAATACAAAACACCACCGCCTGAAGGAAATAACAATATGAGGCAAAACATAAGCATTGAGGCACGGGGAAAATTAGGGAATGATAACCTGCAACCCCGCTGTAAATATGTAAACACATTAAGGAAATAACCACAGCCACATCATCCTGCAGTTCAAGACCGGTTACTCACTGAAGCTAAGCAGGGCTGAGCATGGTCAGTACCTGGATGGGAGACCACATGACAAAACTAGGTTGCTGTTGGAAGTGGTGTGTGTGTGAGGCCAGCAGGGGGCGCTCAACCTGGTAAAGAGTATGGGTGTCCTGGCCTCCACCGGCCCTTACCCATCATGGCCTCACTATCCACCGTATTGGCTCTATCTATATGTGTGGTGAAGCACTGGCGCTGTTGTCCTGTGGCTGCCGTCTGCATCCCTTTGCGCTTCTGAAAAAGCACTACTGTAAACAATGCATGTTGTGACACCACGAAATAAACGAGATGTCTTTTAGTTTTATCAGTACACTATACATAGTCATATAGCACAGAACTGTTTATTATTGGTTTAATTTATTATTATTATTGAACGCTAATGTTCGTGTTATTCGCTGGAGTAGAAGGCGCGCGGCCGCAGGGGAAGGCCTGTTTTCTCTGTCTTTCATCAGAGTAATTCGATCTGAGTCGTGGAGGGAGAAAAGCCTCCGGTGGGGTGAACTTGCCAAACATACGATACACTGTAAAGATACGCATGAGCGCAACAAACATCATCACAAGATCACCATCGGGGCATGATAGGGCAGCATGCAGTAATGCCTGATATCATTAAAGTTTTGGTCACAGCAGAAAACGGTGTTACTAACCACCCAGCCAAATTTAATTGATTAAAGTGTGCATTTGTTTATTCAATGTTTGACGTGATCTCAAATAAAAAAAATGAGGAGGGCGGGGCATTTAGTAGCTCCTCCTCCATGAGCTCAAGCGCATCAAATGAAAAGCCAATGAGGCGGCGGCGAGGCATGTCAGACACTAGAGAGTGTTTGATTGGTCGGAAGATTTTATAAGCAACTGAAGTACAACTATCTCAAGTGGGCGTGTCCACTGCTGAAACCACACGCCCTCACTGGAACACAGCCTTCCCTCAACTGTAAATTACTATAACCTGAATATATGATACCGATGATGACTCTGATCAAGTTTAATTGGCTTTATGCAGACATGCATGTTTGAGCGCCTCAAATACTCAATGTGTAACACTGCCGTCAAGATAAAAAAAACAGACAAATAAACAAACAAACAAACAAACAAACAGATAGATAGATAAATAAACAAACAAACTGACAAACAAATAAAGAAATAAACAGACAGATATAAACCAATCAGATAATTGGATAAATAATTAAACGGATAAATACATACACAAATAAACAGATAAAAAAATGAATAAACAGATAGATAAATAAATTAATAAACAGACAGATAAAAACCAAACAGACAAATAAATAAGTAAATAATTAAACAGATAAATAAAGACAGATAAAAAATAAATAAACAGATAAATAAATAAACAAACAGACAGACAGACAGAAAAATAAATAAATAAATAGAAAAATACATATAAACATATAAAAACAAATAAACAGATAGATAAATAAACAAACAGACAAATAAATAAATAAACAGACAGATAAAAACAAACAATCAGACAATTAAACAAACAGATAGATAAATAAATCAGATAAATAAATTAATAAATAAACAGACACATAAATAAACAAACAGACAAAAAGAAAGAAACAAACAGATTAAAAATACAAATAAACAAATAGATAACTAAATAAATAAACAGATAAATAAAGACACAAACAAACAAAAAGATAAAGAAATAAACAGATAAAGAAACAAATAAAAAACAAACAGACAAATAATTATATAAATAAACAAACAGACAAATAAATAAATAATTTGGTAAATAAACAAACAAAAAAATAAACAGATAAATAAATAGACAAATAAATAAAAAATAGACACAGAGACGAATAAATAAATAAACAGATAAATAAACAAACAATGAGATAAATAAATTAATAAATAAACAGATAAATAAATAGACACAAACAATGAGATAAATAAATAAATAAACAGATAAATAAATAAATGAAGACGCAAACAAAGAGATAAATAAATAAATAAACAGATAAATAACTAAAATGGACACATAAAACGAGATAAATAAATAGATAGATAAATAATTAGAACATAGATAAATTAAAAAGACAAACAGAATAATTAACATATATGCCTCCAGCCAATAGATTCTGCCACTGCTAAGAATGATTCAAATGCACATTCGCACAGTCAAAATGATTATGAAAGCAAGAACATGCCCCTGTATGTGTTTGTGCTTTAATAGTAATAGGATATGATCTAGTTCAAGAACAACTCATATGAAAGAACCATTTTCCCAAGATCAGCTTTACGCCAACACAAATGTGATATTAATATTATAACAGCTCAACAGACGTTCATTCAGAGTAATATTTTAGAAACAATATTGGCTTTTTTGATAATTAAAAATAAAACATTTGTGCACTTCAGAAGTACAAACTCTGCACTGTTTACCTCCTTAAAGAATCTGATTTCGAGTCAATGATTCGCTCATAAAAACACTTGCTTTGTTTCTAAACGAATCAGCTGTTTTGAAAGAATCATTTGAACGGACGATTCAATGAATCACTCACTGAGGCAGAGATTTGTTCCAGCTACTGGTAGTTTTAGTGTCATGTTTATTTATCCATGACAGGCCGAAACTAGCCAAGACCGGCACAAAAACACACTCAGCTAAATACTGTTCAATTATTGCCATCCATAAATGATCTTTAGTGTCAGCAGCACTGCAGTACAGTACACAGTGATCTGAAGATCTCAGTCTCCGCTGACGTCATTTCTCCTTCATCTACACTGCATACACTTCCTTCATTCCCTCACACACACACACACACACTCCTCTGCTTCTCCTGTTGCTGTTAATGCTGTAATGTTGAATCAGATCGTGCATTGATCCAGACCTCATCTGAGAGGAGCGTGAGGGACTGAAGAACAA